CAGGGCTTGTGGGGTCTTCTAGGGTTTTTCAGGCTCATGAGGCTGGTCAAGAGTCTCTAGGCTTTGGGGCTTACAAGGTGTAATTCGCTTGTTTATGGGGCGTAGAGGGTCCTATGGGGCAGGGCTTGCAGGGTTGAGGGTTTAGGGTTTAGGGTTTTGTGGGTTGAGGTTTATAGGGTGTATATAGGACATCCGTGAGGGATTACTTCTTACTTCATCCTCGTAGTCCGACCCCTCCCCCTGCGATTTAATCGGAAAGGGTCTACGGAGTCTACGGTATTCTGGGTAGTTGAACTGAATGCACACCGATACATACATACGCATATATATATATACATATGCTGGGATTGATGTGCACTTAGGCTTCTGTAGAGAAATCTCGCTCGTCGTCTCCAATCGCCCTAGCAGCACCGCACTTAACATCAACCTGGAGAGCCACAAGTGCATCCCTCGTCCCCTAAACGCCTAAACCCTAGCCCTAAACCCTAGCCCTAAACCCTAAACCCTAAACCCTAAACCCTAAACCCTAAACCCTAAACCCTAAACCCTAAACCCTAAACCCTAAACCCTAACCCCTCCGCACGAAAACAACCCCTGAAACCAGACACGGAGTGCCAGGCGATGTGCACGTTCTCCGCCTGCAGGCCATTGTTTCAGGGCGCGCAGCTTCGTCGGTTCAAGGTTTTGGCTTCCCTACTTGGAGGTTCATGGTACTTATTAACCAAGTATAACTGTACTTAAGGGTTTAGGGTGTAGGCTTTAGGATTTAGGGTTTAGGGTTTAGGGTACTTATTAACCAAGTAGACTGTAGTTATGGCCCACTTATAAGCCCCTGAAGTGCCCTAGCATGGTCATCAGTACAGTCATATGGTTAATAGGTACCATGAACCTCCAAGTAGGACCCCTCATGGCCTAAAGCAGAGACCCAGAGAGCCCAATAACGCCCTTAAGAAGGATCCCTTGAGGCTTTAGGGTATGTTTCTTAGCTGGCAGACCTGGAGGTTGGGACACTTCTCTGCGGGCCAAGCTCTAAACACTAAAACCCTTTGAGCCCTAAGCGTCCCTTCACTAAGGGTTTGGGGTTTAAGGATCAAGAGCCAGGTGCCCCAAGAGCTGGAAAGGGAGGCGCAGACAGGACAGGCCATGACCGGATTTTTTTCGTCGTTTCTTGCCTGTTCATACTCTTGAAATAAGCATCGCTTGCAAGTGTGTCGGCTTTGCAGGCAATTTGGGAACCTGGGGGCCCAGTTACCTATATGCCCGAAGCAGACGCAAACTTGGCAACCCTAAACCCTAAACCCTAAACCCTAAACCCTTGGTTCTTTCCATGCCCCTGCCAATGCCGAGACCGAGTCTTGTTGGCCGTATGGGGTAGTCAGGCCCGACCCCTAGATACTCGACTCGATTTGGGGGGGGGGGAATAGGGGTACCCCCTATGTACCCCAAAGTGCTAAAGCTCTGTATGTATCCCAAAGTGCTAAAATTCATTCAGTATACATATATATATATATATGTGTATTTATCTCTATCTATAGTTGTAAATATGTGTGTAGAGATGGGCCCCCACCATATACTGTGCATATATATATATATACACACATATATATATATGTATGTATTTCGTTATTTGTTGTTCATTTTGTTCTGTATATGAGGAGGTGCCAGAAGTCTTACCCTCTGCAAATCCGTGCCCTCAACACTCAACTGCAACCCAAAGGATCCATGTGCAGATACGGTCCTTAAAAGGGTTTAGGGTTTGGGGCCCAACCAGATACTTGGGCTTGAGGGGGGTTCCTATATAGGGCCCTTCCGGTAACCTTCTGACTCTTCTACAGCCGCCTTGCATGGTAGCATGTCTGCAAAAGCGGGTAGAGTCTAAAGCTCTGTGAGCCCGAAGAAAGGCTAACAAGTGTCAGCCCTTGCAGCCCAAATTAGGATTTAGGGTTTAGGGTTTAGGGTTTGTCTAAACCCTGAAGCCCTTTGCCTTTCCCTTACCAGAGGCTTGAATTCAGATTTACAGGGTCCTCATGCGGGTTTCAAACTTACAGGACGAATGCCCTAAACCCTCAATTCTCAACCCTAAACCTTAGACTCCAAGCCCTAACCCCTAAACCCTAGACCCTAAACCCAAACCTCCAGATTCCCTGAGAAATCTCGCAGGATCTGGCTCCTTCGCGCCTCAACACCTCACCCCGTGCAGTTCGGAAGGAGGCAGGAATTAAGGTTCGAGGATTTACAGGATTTAGGGTTTAGGGTTTAGGGTTTAGGGTTTAGGGTTTAGGGGATGTTCCCCCTTATACTTACAGTCCTTCATCGAATTAGAGCACCCCTTTGTATATAGTTCCTATCAAGGACTGTTGGTAGGAGGGGGCATTTATAAGGTTTAGGGTTCAGAGGGTCGTAATTAGGACCCTAAACCCTAAACCCTAAACCCTAACCCTAAACCCTAAACCCTAAACCCTAAACCCTAAGCCCTAAACCCTAAACCCTAAACCCTAAACACCCAAACCAATGTACTGTATCAAGCATGAAAGAAAGCCCCATGGCATCATCGTTTCCGACCGCTGAGAAACTGTAAACCTACTCAGTGCTTAAGAACGCCGCCCCCCCCCCCCCCCCCCCCAAATTGTCAAGTAATACTCCTTTTCTTAAACCCTAAAAATCCTAAACCCTAAACCCTAATCCCCAAACCTTAAACCCTAAACCACCCTAAACCCTAAACCCTACACCCTAAACCCTAAACCCGAAGCAGGCTCACGGGCAGGAGCCGGCCCGCTGCCGCACCGCGAGGCGCTCCGCCAAAATCAACGGGTTTTTGGCATGCGGTTGGTTTAGGGTTTAGAGTTTAGGGTTTAGGGTTTAGGACTAGGGTTTGGGGAGTAGGGTTCCCCTAACCCTAAGCCTGAACGCTAAACCCTAAACTGCTGTTGCAGGGGGGGGTGGGGGGGGGGGGGGTGGGGGGGGGGGGGGTGGGGGTGGGGGTGGCGTGCAGAGCTCGTGCATGCAAGACGTCTCTTTCAATGCCATCCCCAGGAAGCCCCACGGCTGATTCTGCAGCGGCCTCCCTCCGAGGGGAGCACAACGTCCAGCGCCCAGCGCCGGCTTAAGTTTGGGGTTTTAGGGTTTAGGGTTTAGGGTTTAGGATTTAGGATTTAGGGTTTAGGGTTTGCCAAAAAAGGAGAGAGGGTTTGGGGTTTAGGGTTTAGGGTGCCCAGTATGGTTCTCCCATTCCATGTTTCGGGGGCTAAACCACATCAAGCCCAACAAGAACTCCCTGTTCATTCGGCCTAACGAAGCCCAAACCTTCACTTCTTGCAGGTCCCTGATTCTCATCTTTTCAGGGCATCAGTTCCCTTATTCCCTGCTTTGAACCAAAAAGGGCACCCCGTGTTATTCCTAGGTTCCTCTTGGGCCTCGGCAAGAAAGGTATGGGCGTGGGGTCCAAGAAGATAGCCTCTAGTCAAGGTCAACCGCACCCTGCGGACCCATATTTTCCAAACCCCAAAGACACATTCGTCTGCCAAGTTTATACGGTGTAGGGCTTTGTCAGGTTTTCAGCGAGGCCGTCGACAAAAGCAACCCTAAACCCTGAACCCTAACCCCATATACCCTATGAACCCTAAACCCTAAACCCTACATAGGCCCCCCAAAATCGTAAGTTGAGTGTTGCCAGCTGCACAGGCCTCATCCGACCCCCTCGCAGCAGATGGACGAAGCAGCCGCCGAGATCTCGCAGGCTGAGTTGGGGCATTAGGGTTTAGGGTTTAGGGTTTACTCTTCCCTGCAGTCCCATGTACCTAAGTAGGGAATACTTGACACTTGACCCTTAAACCGTACTGGCTGGGGGCAGTACTCTTGACTCTTCCCTAAGGGTTCCATGTACCTGAATAGGAAATACTTGCCTTAAAGTACTTTGCATGCATGGATTTTGGGGCCCAAGTATCGCTAACCCATTTAAGTGAAACGGGGGGCAATTCACTACCCTAAGCCCGAAGCCCCTGCACGGCTCGTCCAGCTAATGCGGGTGGCAAGAAAACCTAACTCATCAAAAGTCCTGAGCCCTAAACCTTACAGTTTTTGAACACCTCGCCGGACCCCAGCACCACACCGCAGCTGCGTGAAGTCGCTGGCTGACCAGATCAACTGCAAGCACAAGGGTGCAGTTTCGGGTCTGGGGTTTCGAATCTGTCTTCTACAATATCTTACAATGGGCCTAAACCCTAAACCCTGAACCCTAAACCGTTTATGTACCTTGATAGGGGTCATGGAGTCACAGTTGTATAGGGCATGCCTCGAACTTTAAAGCGCGTTTAGCCGAACCCGTAAGGCAAGATGGGGGTTTACGAAAATAATACCTTAAACCCTAAATCCTAAACCCTAAACCCCCATAGAATCCCCCAACTAGTAGAAGCCCCTCAGGATATGGACCCCCATAAGCTACCCCCTTCTTTCGGAAACCCCCCGATTGCAACAGCGTGCGCAGTGCAGGAGCAGGTGTTGCTCACGTCGTCCCCGGATGGTACATTGACTTCCCCGCACACACAGGAGGCAGAAGAGGGTGCATGGAGTTGAGAACTGTCTTTGCACTAACTACGTCTGGTTCGATACCTGAATTACGAACTCAAAACGTAGTTTTTTGCAGCTTACCCAAGAACCCTATAAAGGGTTTTATAGCCAGAGCCTATATCAAAAGTAGATTGGGGGTCTTAAGGTAGGGTTACTAGGTAGAGGGTTGCGGAATGAGCTTCTCCGATTCTGACGTCGCGTGGTACACAAGTTCAGCATTGCCACGGAAGTTGTTTCCTCGCAGTGACGGACTTACAGGTGAGCGGTTCCTCTAAATTATGCTACGGTGTTTCTGGCCGCCCCAAAAGAGACACTCATCCAAAGAAAACCCCTAGGGACCCTAAAATCCCGAAACCCCAAAGCCCCATAGGGCCCAGAACTGGCATGCCTGCAGCGTTTGCGGTCGAGCAGTTTCGAGGGGCACGCGTGGAGCCATGGCGCTGGTTGGGGAGCCGCAGCATGTGACTTACCAGGCGCGGGGGGGGGGGCTTTGGGGTTTATTGAAATCACTAAGGGTTCAGGTCTGGGGAAAGTTTCGAGGAGTTTCGATTTTTGGAGTTTTTTGTCGTAATAATTTCAAGTTACAGGGGTTGAGGGTTTAGGGTTTAGGGTAGCAAGCTGCAGTTTTGAATCGGAAGCCCTAACCCGAAGTGGGAAGGTTTATACAAGGAGGGGCCCCCTTACTACACTAACTCGAGTTAGGGGACTTATAAACAAAGTTAGGATCCTTATAACCCAATTAAGGGTCCTTATAACTCGACTTATAACTGCGGGGGGGCCTGCTTGTGGGGTTTGTAGGGCTTAACAATCCATAGACCTTCTTGGAGCCCGTTGCCCCTACCCACTGCTGAACCGGTTTATAAGGGTTTAGGGTCCAAACCCTAAACCCTAAACCCTAAACCCTAAACCCTAAACCCTAAACCCTAAACCCTAAACCCTAAACCCAAGTCAACCCCGAAGCAACCCTCCGGCAGGCCCTTGCCGAGGCGTCTGAGGATGCTCCCATCGATTTGCCGGAAGACTCCCTCCGCAGGAGGGCTTTGCGGGGTTTAGGGTTTAGGGTTTAGGGTTTAGGGTTTAGGGTTTAGGGCTTTGCAGGGTTTAGACTCTACACCGTAGGCCTTACTTATCGCGGTTAGGGTTGAGGGTCAGGCTGTGCCCACCCCTTCCCCCCCCCCCCCCTCCGCCATTCTGGGCCATGATCTCCCTCTGCAGTAAACGCTAAAGCCTAAAGCCTAAACCCTAAACCCTAAACCCTAGGCCCTAAACCCTAAACCCTAAACCCTAAACCCTAAACCCTAAACCCTAAACCCTAAACCCTAAACCCTAAACCCTAAACCCTAAACCCTAAACCCTAAACCTGAGCCATGTTCTCCTGCTGCGGCCCCAGGATGCGGCATGGCCATCTGGCAGGAGGGCTCCTGTCCCTCATCGTGGCCTGGGCTGCCTGAGATCCCTAAACCCTAAACCCTAAACCCTAAACCCTAAACCCTAAACCCTAAACCCTAAACCCTAAACCCTAAACCCTAAACCCTAAACCCTAAACCCTAAACCCTTACCCCAAACCCTAAGGTGGTCTTCTCCCTTTCTATCAGCTGGCTTCCGCCGCCTCAGCCTCTGTCAGCTGACGCAGTGCACGACCTGAAGGACTCCTTCGGCTAAAGGGCTTAGGGTTTTCGGGTTCATGGCGTTTCGGGTTGGGGTTTAGGGTTCGGGCCTGTACTCTCTTGTCCGTTCCGGCAGAAGCCTGAGCCTTACTTAAATCCTGAATCTAAAAATCTGAAGCACAAGCCTGTGACCTCGAATGCCAAGCCCTGAACGCCTTCCAAAAGAGCCCATGCAGCTAAGTTACTTGGGCCTTAATGGATACCTTCATAGTGTTAGGGTTTAGGGTTTACTACCTGAGACCCCAAACCCTACAAGCATACCCTTCAACACCCTAAAGGCCCATAAGCCCCTAAACCCCAAAAGGCCCACAACTAAACCCGGAACCCTAAAATGCCCCCTAAACCCCTAAACCCCAATACCCTAAACCCGAAACGCCCCAACAAAAAGCTCCAGACCCGAGATTTCCGGGCTCTCTCGCAGGATGCGCCGGTCATCGAGATGAGCTCCCTGGCCGCCCAGGGTTTAGGGTTTAGGGTTTTTGGGTTGAGGGCGTTTTTGAAGTGGATGAGGGGTTTAGGTGTCTGGGGTTTTAGGGCAAACCCCAAACCCTTGTGAACATTCTGCGAGTGTGTTTCGGATGCAGTTTAGGATTTATCGGGCTTAGGCCGCCCTGGTAGATGTAGGGGGTGTCGACGCCCGGGTGAACAGAGCTGTTTTCAGGATCTCGCGGGGCTCACGGTTCATGGCCGCTCAGGGCCTTGTCAACCTTCGGGATAGGGTTCGTAAGGCTTTAGGGTTAAGAGTACATGGTGTTCAGGGTTTTGAGCTTAGGTTTGAGGGTTATGTAACGGGTTTGGGGATGAAGGGTTCTGTTCTTTCCAAGGTTTGGCCATTAGGGTCCAGGACTCAGGTTGGGTATCTTAAAGACCCCGAAGCCCTGAATGCCCTCAACCCTTTGAGGTTTAGGATTCAGGGTTCAGGGTTTAGGGTTTAGGGTGTTTCGGGTTTAGGTCAGATGCCAAATTCGACCTACAAGGGATCCCCAAAAACCTCCACAACCGTAAACATGGATATCGAGCTCAGAAGTTCCCTCGGTCGCTGGCAAGGCGTTGATTCTTACACAGTGCCGAGCACCTGCTTGGGAGCCATGCTGCACCCGGCCCATTCATTAGGGTCCAGGGTTCGATTTCCTTAGTAGCTGAATACATTTACACTTTTTGGGATACTATGATCCCCTATAGAACTGAAAGTGTACACTTTTTTTGGGGGCTTGTGAACTCAGCAACTAATGAAGCAGTTTAGGGGGCGTGCCAAGTTTAGGGCGGACAAAGGTTCCAAGCTCAAAGGGTTTTTTCGGGCTTGGCAGTCTTCTCCCTTCTTGGGTTTAAGAGGATCGTGTCTGCCGTCGAACCTAATGCATTAAACCCCTCAAGCCCTTCTTTTTTAAAGAGGGTTTCCGGAAAGGGACATCCGAGATTCGGGTTTAGGGTTTGGCGGCAAGAGACTTCCCGGTTGAAATTCGGTTTAGCGTCTAGGGCCTCAGTCAGGCCCTAAACCCTAAACCCTAAACCCTCCTAGCTGGGTTTGCTTGCATTAATCGCGGGGGGGGGGGGGGGGGGCAACTTTCCAGGCTTGTGTTTAGAGAGATAGTGGGGGCAGGGTCTAGTGTTTGTGGTTCAGAGATGTTCAGGGTACCCTTAACCCTAAACCCTAAACCCTAAACGTTTAGTAAGTGCAGGGAAAGCTGGGATTACGTGTGCGCAAAGTCCTAGGAGCAAGCAAGCTGGGGGCTTGCCTCTAAGACCCGAGTTTTGATACGGGGCGGTCTTAGGGTTTAGGTTTTTTTCCGCACGCCCCGGAACCTTTCAAGCAGATCAGCTCCAAGCCGAAGTTCAGGCCATATCATGCAGAAGGGCAAGTTCATGAAGATTTTACGACAGTCATCGCGAAAAGCGCGTTAACTGCTGCAAACAAAACAAGCAGCCTGATGAACCCTACGCGAACGCTGAACCCGGATCAAGCCCTTTGGTGTTTTGGGGCCTTGGACTGCGCGCGTGGTGGGGTTTGAAAACCCTAAACCCTAAAACCCTAAGCCTGGTAAAAGTGTCACATCCTGAGGCTGGGCGCCCTGGCAGCGAACTGCTGCTGCGCCGCCTGTCACGGGGGGGAGTGCTGCGCGGATGCTCCTTCTGCAACGAGTTAGGGGTGTAGGGTTGCGGGTTTAGGTTTTAGGGTTCAGGGTTCAGGGTTTAGGGTTCCATTTCGATGGACCCATCCAAAGAGCCCAATGTTAATTAAAGGAAACGATCTCACATCATACAGGGATCCTGAATATGATTTAAGGTCTATTCCTTATGTAAGGGGTATTTGGGGCTCTGTGGGAGCGAGCTTTTCGTGAATTAAACCCGAAAACCCCCATTAATGACCCGCCCTTGCGAACCCCGCTTACTAAGTCGAAAGGGCTTCCAAGCGTCTAAGAGTCTAAGCCCTGACCTTCGCACGTCTCTCCCCGCCAACTGGAACCCCCCACCTCCCTTCCCACTCGGTGGGTTTAAGCACCGGGCGAGGAGAAGAGTTCCGGGCCAGGAGAAGAGTTGAGTTTAAAATCTAACAACCCCACACCGAGGGTGGGGAATAAAAGAACAATTACGAAAAGAACAATGGACCCTATGTAGCTGGGCTCTACCACCCCCCCTATATGTATATACAGATATATATATATATATGTATATATATATATGTATATGTATATAAAAGCCTTATAGCCCGAAACCCTAAACCCTATAGTTAGACCCTGCGACATAAAAAAAGAGGATGCTATCAACCCTCTCAATGCCCCTTTACAATTTAAGGTGTACTCCCACCCTAAACCCTAAACCCCTAAACCCTAAACCCTAAACCCTAAACCCTAAACCCTAAACCCTAAACCCTAAACCCTAAACCCTTACTTAAGGGGTATTGGGCTCTTTGGGAAGGAAGGAGGCTGCGGCTGCTGCGGACCCAGCTGCTGGGTCTCGGTCTTCGAGTCCCTGGGCTGCGTGTGCCTTGGCCTTAAAAGGGGGTTAGGGGTTTAGGGTTTAGGGTGTAGGGTTTAGGGTTTAGGGTTTAGGGTTTAGGGTTTAGGGTTTAGGGTTTAGGGTTTAGGGCGTCAAACTACCTGGAGGTTTCATGGGTAGATGTAACTGGGGTTAGGAACTTGTGGAACCTTACACCCCCCTAAACCTAGAAACGCTTTAGTCCCCGAAGCCCCAGAACCACCCCAGAAACCCCATAAATCCAAGAAACCCTATGAACCCTAAATCCCAGAAATGCGAGAGCCGCTATAACCCAGAACCCTAAACCCTAAACCCTGAACCCTAACCCTAAACCCTAAACCGAAAAGACAAAAAACCCTTGTAAACCCTAAGCCCTAATCCCGAAAGCCGTATAGAAACCCCGACACCCTCCTGGAAAGAACCTTAGACCCCAAACCCTAAACCCAAAACCCTCAACCCTTCAAAACCCTAAACGCTAAACTCTAGGTACTCCGAAGCTCCCCTAGAGATAGCCCTAAACCCTAAACCCTAAACCCTAAACCCTAAACCCTAAACCCTAAACCCTAAACCCCTAAACCCCTAAACCCTAAACCCTTCCAAAAGGCCGACATGGACCCTTGCTTCGTTCTTCGTCCACCGCTTCGGCGGCACTTGGGGACGCGATATTGTGGGGGGCGAGTTTGATGGTCCAGGGGGTTCGGGTTTAGGGTTTAGGGTTTTGGGTTTTGGGTTTTGGGTTTGGCGTTTCGGGTTTAGGGTTTAGGGTTGGAGAGCGTAGGACTTTCGGATTCTCATTTGACAAGATTAACATGAAAGGGTGCTGCGGGGCTTTGGGTTTAGGACTTAAGGTTCTTCCCTAAACCCTAAACCCTAAACCGGTTTTAAGGCCTAGAGGGTTTGGGGGGGGGGGGGCGGACCAAGCAGGGTTCAAGAGTTAGGGACCAGTTAGGGACAGTTAGGGAATGGATTCATGGGTTCCCCTACCACCCTCTATACTATCCCCCCCGCCCTAGGTTCCCCCCCCCGCCCCCCCCTCAATAACCTTAGTCAGGCGAATCATCCCTAAATAGTCTTGATGACGGGGGGGGGGGGGGGGGTAGCATAGTGGGGAACCCTGGAGTTTAGGCAGTTTAGGGGCTTGAAGGGTTGGTGGGCTTGAAGGGTTTAAAAGGCTTGAGGCCTGGAGCATCAAAGCAAGGCTTCATTAGGGTTTAGGGTGTTTCGGTTTAGGGTTTAGGCTTCAAGGGTGTGAGGCTTAGGGCTTCTAGGCCTGTGTAAGCCCCGATTCGAGGGTTCGTTGAGATGAGACACGCTTTGAGGAGTGCTTGTGGACGGATAGTGGGTTTCAGGGTTTGGGTAGGAGGATCATGGTTTAGGGCTCAGGCCCCAGGATTCGGAACATGCTTTTTGCTCGGGTTTGGCGGCGTTTTTCGTGATCCTTCAATCATGAGCTCTTGAAAATGCCCCCCCCCCCCCCCCCAACCCAGAGAGAGGTAAGGGAATTTGTGGAGGTTACTTGGGGAGGGACACCTGAAATCAGAAACCTTTGAACCTTCAAAATTTCAACTGATCCCTACAGGCTTTTCAACCCTAAACCCTAAACCCTGAACCCTGAACCCTGAACCCTGAACCCTGCAAAGGCATCCCATGCTTCAGCCTCTACTTGCTGAAGGGCCTCCTCTTTTCGGGCTGTGGCTTCTTAGGAGGCGGCACCTGCTTGGTAGCCGAGGGGTACTCCTTTGCGGGTTAGGGTTTAGGCGGGTTAGGGTTTAGGGTTTATAGGGTTTAGGGTTTAGGTTCTAGGTTCCCTTTAAAAGGTAGCCAACAAGAAAAGGGGGTGCCCTTTATGATCATATGGTTTCTGTGCTGCCAACGTCTGCCGGTGTTGGGCTTCTTTGGAGAAGTGGGTTGGTTTTAGGGGTTCAGGGTTTAGGGCTTTAGGGTTTTGGGGGTTTTGGGCTCTGAGGGTTTAGGGGTTTGAGGGTTTTGGCGTTTTGAGGGTTTAGGGCATTCAGGCTTTCAAGGTTTAGTGTTCAGGAGGGCTGCTATACACCCCACACATCCCCCAATGTTGTACCTGGGGGCGTGAAAGCCCTACGCAAAAGAGCCTCTACATTGCCCCAAAGTGTTCAGAAGCCTAGAACACCGTCACATGGCCAGTTTTCTGAAATCATGCTCCAATTTAGTACTGCTCTAATCATACAGTCCTGCATGACACTAGCTACCGCCCTAAATCCTAAATCCCTTGCACCCACACCCTAAACTTTAACATGGGGGTTTCCGAGATTAGGGGTACCTTCTTGGGGTCATTAATATAAGGGAATCCTACTATTTGGGGACCCTAAACCCTAAACCCTAAACCCTAAACCCTAAACCCTAAACCCTAAACCCTAAACCCTACTATTTGGGTCGCTTTTTTTTGTAAACCCCCATGTGCACTTCAAAAGGTGTGACCCTGACGGGTGCTGCCGCGATTGCCGGACTCCGCTTCTGCCGCTGGGCTCGCAAAGACGTAAGGAAAGCCGAAGGCTTGGGGTTTAGGGTTTAGGGTTTAGGGCTTTGGGTTTTGGGTCTCGGGTTTTGGATTTAGGGTTTAGGGTTTAGGGTTTAGGGCCATGGGCTGCAAAACAAGGGTTTACGGTTTAGGGTTTCGAGTTTACTACAGGCGCTACTCGAAGATAAGCTAGCTCTTGGGTAGTTCTAAGTCGGGTGTTTAGTGTCCGAAAAATAGGGTCACAGACAACCAAAGCTACATAGCACCCCGTAAAATGTCGGATCGAATCTCCTTTTGGCTCCCTCCTGTCTGAGAGACCTGCATTCTTGAATTCCCTGCAATAGTCAACCTTTGCACTGGTAATTGATGGTTAACTTATACTGTTTGCCGACGGAGGTGTAGGGTAACTGGTACAAATTGCCTTGCAACAGCCCTAGATGCGCGTGCCTTAACCCTAAACCCTAAACCCTAAACCCCAAACCGTGGCCCAAACCCTGCCTTGAAGACAGACCCATGGTTCCAAGGCAGGGACTACAATGATGCGTGTGGCGGCTGCGTACAGTAGTGCGAGCTACTGATCTCTGCGAGTGTCGGCCGTCCGGGCCCCATGGAAGTGCAGGGGCCCTTAACCCTAAACCCTAAAACCCTAAACCCTAAACCCTAAACCCTAAAACCCTAAAACCCTAAACGAGGACTGTTCAGCTACGGCTGGTTAGGAGTCAGCACGGTAAAGCCACGTACATCGAGGTTGAAGACCGACATGGTGCAGCAGGGCCCTTTGAGACACAGAGCATGCGTTGATACTGAGATATGCCCACCCTTGATAGGGTTGTTGCTGGGGTGATAAGGCCTTACAGCCCATCCTGGTTCAAAGGCGAGAAGCATAGGCCTGTTGCAGCATATCGGATCTTTTGTAGGATCTTATAGCCACAGACATGTAAACCCGACAGAGGCCTTATGAACCAGCAGTAGGGGCCCCCCCTGCACATTGGGAGGGCTATGACATGCCATGTGCAAGAGGCTGGCAAAAGTTCCAGCCTCGGCTAACACAGCGCGATCTTCAACATGCGCGTTGTTTAGGGTTTAGGGTTTAGGGTTTAGGGTTTCATGCGGGTCTAGCTTCCGAGCGTGCCGCCGGCGTTGCAACTACCATTCCAGAGCTCAACATTTTCTTGCGTACGGCATCCTGGCAGGTCTAGATCCAGGGGGAAAATAAATAAATATATACATATGTATATCTCACTACATACACGTACTTTATACACAGTTATTGATACAAACACGTATATATGTATATTTATATATATGTATATAGATGCATGTAAAACACGCATGGTCTTCCAGGCACCGGGTGGAAGATTCGGCAGCTCAGGTTCAGGTGTTCCGGTTGCATACGCTCGGTTTCAACTTAGAAGCACGCGCATGTTGGGCTGCTTTGGCTTCTCTCTTGGTGCGTTCTGCTTCAGGTGCTCTTGTGGCTACAAGGAATCCCGAAGCCCTATATACACTAGATCTGGTGTCCGCAAAATTTAGAACTCAACTATTAAAAAAATGTACAGCCACCCGGTCTGAGACGGCTGCAAGAATCACAAGTTGCCATCTCTTTATGCTCCAGACCAGGAGCTCCTGGAAATTGTGCCTTTTAGGGTTTTGGGTTTCGCGTTCAGGGTTTAGGGCTTGGGGTGTAGGGTTTTAGGGTTTAGAGTTTCGGGCTTAGGGTTTTGGGGCTTCGGGTTTTAGGGTTTGGGGTTTTCGGGTTTGGTTTCGGGTTTGGTGTGAAGGGAACCCCTCCGCAGCCCCCAACTGGGCGCGGTGAGTAGAGAGAAGGTGCCGGAAACCTCCAGGGTACACAGACACCGGTGCAATAGATTCGGATTGGGGTTTGTGTTGGGTGCAGGAGGCTTTTTGACGCCTAAGCCCTAGACCCTAAACCTAGACCCTAAACCCTAAACCCTAAAACCTAAACCCTAAACCCTAAACCCTAAACCCTACACCCTAAACCCTAAACCCTAAACCCTAAACCCTAAACCCTAAACCCTAAACCCTAAACCCTAAACCCTAAACCCTAAACCCTAAACCCTTGCTTGAAGACGGCTTGCCTTCATCCGCGCAAGCTGCAAGAGCCCTGGAGCTGACAGTTCTAGCAAGGTCGCGGGAGGTACCCTGACAGCAGAAATGAAGGGTTTAGGGTTTAGGGTTTAGGGTTTAGGGTTTAGGGTTTAGGGTTTAGGGTTTAGGGTTTAGGGTGTTAGCCTATGGGCCATATTACCCTACGACAAGCTCGGGCCACTTGGGTCAACATATTTGATGTGTGGCAATCCACGCCCTAAGCTTTTTGGGACATCAGGGTCAAAGATGTGCTAGGAATTCTTCCTGTTTTTAGGGGTTTAATTAGGGTTTAGGGTTTAGGGTTTAGGGTTTAGGGTTTAGGGGCTCCTTTATCAGCCCCTTTGAAACCCAAAACAGGGCACACTTCTGTTATTTCCGAGGCTACTCTTGGGTCTATTGTTACCGCACCAAGGGCAGGAGTTTAGGGTTTAGGGTTTAGGGTCCCCACATGCACCTTGAACAACAAAGGGCTCGCCAGACATGTATAAGAGCCTGAGAGTGGAATTTCAGGCAAAATGGGCTTTTAGGTCTAGGGATTTTGGTACCCTTTGCATATATAAGGGAGATACCCCGTCCCGGGAGATGCCACAATGTCTGCAGACTAATTAGGGTCTAGGGTTTAGGGTTTAGGGTTTAGGGTGGGTCCCTCCTAGCGGCAGTTAGCAGCACTCTTATCCGCCCTCGGCACAGCTTCCAGGACGGCTCGGGTCCGATGCTCCATGCGCGGGCACTGCGAGAGTGCGAGCAGAAGGAAAAGAAAAGAAAAGCCAGCTTCAGCAGGTTTTAGGGTTTAGGGTTTAGGGTTTAGGGTTTAGCATGTTTAGATCGTCACAGCATCTGATGAGAACGTGCCCTCGTTCTACCATGTTGGAAAGCGCTCTTCACTTGATGAAGCTTCATCCCACTCACCCTCTGAAATGCAGCGGAGCCTGTTGTTTCGCATGGGGGGGGGGGGGGGGCGTAGTGTGGTGCCTGGAAGAGGTGGCTAGACCCAGAGTAGGCCCTTATTCCCCTGTTTAGGGTTTAGGTTCCCTGATTCTTTAAACCATCAAGGGCACCCTTTTTTTATTCCGAGGTTACTTTTGGGTCTAGGTGGCAAACCCTGTCGAAATCCTCCCTATTCACGTTTCCAGAATTTTTCGCAGAAGCCCTGAAACTTTACTTGGAGGTTCATGGGACAGTTGCACGTGGGGTGATACGTGCCCTAAGTACTGGTGTACTTGAGAAAACGGGCTGTAGTAATCCCACTTCTAACACCACTTATAGCTACCCTGAACCTCCCCAAAGAGGCACCCTTGAACCCTAAACCCTCAAATCCTAAACCCTAAACCCTTACCTTTACCCTTAAACCGACTTAAACCCTTAAACCCTTAAACAAAACCCTTAACCCTTAAACCCTTAGACCCTTAAACCCTTTACCCTTAAACCCTTACACCCTTAAACCCTGAAACCCTTAAACCCTTAAGCCCTTAAACCCTTAATCCCTTAAACCCTTAAACCCTAACCCTAAAACCCTTTCAGTCCTTAAATTTGTGCCAGGCACTCCTGCCCACTTCCTCCCGGAGCTTCCGCCTGGGCCACGAGGCGGGCAGCAGTGCTTGTTTAGGGTTTGAGGTTTAGGTTTTAGGGTTTAGGGTTTAGGGTTTGAGGTTTTAGGGTTTTGGGTTTAGGGTTTAGGGTCATCTTGTCCTCATGTTTGAGACTGGGCCTCTTGATTGGCAGTATGGGAGTCCCGTCAGTAGCACTGGAAGCCTGTGCTTTGGGCAGTTTCTGGCAGCACCGCCGGGAGTTTGGATGCAAAAACAAGTTAGAATTTGGGGGTTTAGGGTTTAGGGTTTAAGGGTTCTCTGGGTTCTGGTCGTGCAGGGAGCCTCGTACTTAGGTACCAGCAGCACTTAGAGGGATCGGGGTGGTGAGGTGAGGGGCAAGGGTTGGGCACAACTTCACGGCGCAGAGTCTTTCCACAAAGCTAGGCTTCCTTAAACCCTTCTACAAGCAGGGGCCCCCCAGTTTTTGGTAGAGTTATAAGGACCCTTAATTGGGTTATAAGGATCCTAGCTACTGGGGTACCACGCTTATAAGCCCCTTTAAACCTCCTGAGAGCAGCCTGTTAGGTCGGGGTTCGGAAAGGTTCTTTGGTTCAGGATTTTAGGGTTTATGGGGTTAGGGTTCAGGGTTTAGAGGGTTGCGGGTTCAGCATTTCCAGTTTCGAAAGGCCTTGCGTTTGCAGCAGGGCTGTGCAGCATGGGGCCATGTGAAGCGCATGACCAACTGTTGCATCTTGAGCCCCTTTAAACCCTGAACCCTAAACCCGAATCCTTGCCTTTGTTGCCTTGCCTGCCTGTGCGAGCGCGAGAGCCGAAAGGCTAAGCCCTGAAGGCAAAACCCCTAAGCCCAGTCTCCGCACACTCCAAGAGCCGAAAAAAGGGCGACTTTTTTGCTCATGGAACCTAACCTTACCCCGCCAACAAGGGGTTTCCGAAACTCGGGGGAGTCCCAGATGTTCGTAAAACACCACAAGAGAACCCTGAACTGTGTGGGGGTTGCGGTTTAGGGTTTCTTTTTTTGTCTGGGTTGTATCACACATGCAGCAGGCGAGATTGTCCGGGCCCGGTATTCCAAAGGGCTTAGGGCTTGGGGTTTCGGGTCGCGGCAGGTGCCAGTGGCGGCGAGCCCCATCTCCACGGGCGTGGGTGAGAGTGAGCAGCCACAGACACTCTGCGAAAGCTGGGTGTCGAGACCCATATTCTAAATCCTAAACCCTAAATCCCAAACCCTAAACCGTAAATCCTAAACCCTAAACCCGAAATCCTAAACCCTAAACCGGTTTAGGGTCGTGAGTGCCCCATTCGTTCAGAAGCTCTCTGAACCCTGGACCTCTCCCCCGAGCCGATCCTCACTGCCTCTCCATATACTCAGGGTTTAGGGTTTTAGGGTTTAGGGTTTTAGGGTTTTAGGGTTTTAGGGTTTTAGGGTTTTAGGGTTTTAGGGTTTTAGGGTTTTAGGGTTTAGGGTTTAGGGTAGCTGCATGGTCCCTTAGTTCTTCTGGTCTCTTACCTTGCTTAAAGGGTATTGAAGTATCGGCCTCTGGGTTGTATGGGGTATATAGCCCTAAGGGTCCTGCACCCTTTTTGTTTATTCTCGGGCCCCAAAAAGGCCCTATACGGGGAGCGCGTTAAGGCCACAAGTATTCCCTAGTTGGGTACATGCACCCTTAGGGTTCGGGCATGTGGTTCAGTGCCTTGGGAGGCTTAGGCTTTTTAAGGGTTTAGGGTTTAGGGTCTACAGCGCATCTTTACAACAAAGACCTGCGGCAAAAAGGGGTGAGAGTTTCCGGGTGTAGCTTCTTTCCTCTATAAGGTTCGTTACATGGTCTCTTACAAGATGGCTCCTCCTACCTGCCTTACAGGGGTTCGAGGTTTAAGGTTTAGGGTTTGGGTTTAGGGTGTTCTGAAG